ATGCACATGTATACATAAGAGGTATAATCGCAGCAACACTCCCCAAAAAGTCTTTGGGGAATTTGTATGCTGCTACAACAACAACAACACCACCACCAACAACAACAACAACAACAACAAACACAACAGGTATAATCGCATTCATTTCATCAATTACATCAAACAAATTCTAACCTTTTTCTTTTGCTTCTTCCAACAGTTCATCAGCCAGCATTTGCATTTTGTGCTTCAACATCAACCGCTTAAGGCGCACAAAAACGATACGCTCATGCTTTATCCTTTCCCGATCACTTCCGTTTTTGGCTACTTGTTGCTTCGCTTTTTGGTATATGTCCTGTATTGTCCAAAAAGATTGTCGCTGTTGCTCGCACACTTCAGCAATGGTGCAGAGTGTAGAGAATGCTTCCGAGGGTACATCTCTATTCAGTTCATATTCCTTCCATAAGTAGACCAGTGCCTGGTCATATTCTTTATTATCTTTGTAAGTCTGATAGAGGCTCACATAAATCGGTATTAGGTTTTTTTCGGGCTCTGCATTTTTTTCAGCGCAGTTCAACATCTGCTGGTAATACTCAATAGCTTTAGAGTAGTTTTGCAATTGACAACACCCATCACCCAGTTTCTCAAACAAACTTTTACGCTTTGCATAGTCAATTGAACTGGTAGTGACTAATTCATCCAAAATTTGACATATTTTAACGACTAGTAATAGTATATCAAATTAATAACAAAGAGATTAGTAATTAACTACATATATATTTTTTTTATTAACATTGGACCAACCTACTCGCAGCGATTTTTCAATTGTGATCCGATCGTTCTCGTCAGGTGTGTTCTTTTTATATGCTTTAGTTAGTATTTGCTTTGCACTTGCAAAGTCACTATCTTTAATTAAAATCTCAGATTTGGTAATGAGCGTTTCGCAAATTTTTTTGACCCTATTCGGTAAACGTTTCGCAACTTCCAAAGCCAGGTTACAATAACGTAGCGCTAATGTCGAGTCATGTTTTTTGTAGAAATATAGCAGACTCATCGAAATGTAACATAAGTGTGTCAATTCGAATATATCGTTCAATTTAGTTATTTTTATAGCTTTTTCAATGTATGAAATTGACTCTTCGAATTCTTCCATGTGCTCTTTTACAACGCCAATGTTGAGGTAGCAGCGCGCTTGCATATCCAACTGCTCCAGTTTCGAAATCTGACCTGAAAGTCTGGAAGAAAATACATATGTATTTACCTATTAACCATTTTCTTACATACTTTTATAGGTATAAGCATATATATGTATGTATGCATATAAACTTGGATAAGAAACAAATGTATATGCACTCACTCCTTAATTAAGAGTAAACTCCTGAGAAATGCACGTTCGGCTTGCCGCAATTGCTCCATTGTAGTAGACGCCGAACTCTCAAGAGTGCTTTGGCCATGCAACAGGTGGGCACGTCCTAAAGTCGCATAAGCCCTCTGCTCTTCAACTTTATTGTGTAACTTCTTTACGATATCTTTAAATAATAGTTAAATTAAATTCAATTGTAATTCAAATCTGTAATTCACTCACCGAGGTATAAGTTTATGTGTTCCTTGGCCTTGCCAAACTCACTAATCAGCATAAACATTTCACCAACCATTCGATGCGCTTTCGCCATTTCCAACTTCTTACCCAGTTTCGCATAAATTTCGGCTTCTTGCAGGTACTCATTGACCGCATTTCTATATTTACCTTGTTGATTGTAGTAGTCACCCAAATTATTGCAACAAATAGCCAGTTGCTGACTGTTGCCCTCATTTCGCGCCTTCTCCTTTCGCTTGATATATCCTTTCAGTGGAAGCGTACATATGTACATACATATGAATAAATAGTTCCAAGAATTTTATTAAACAAACTTACGTATTTCATCCATATTTTAAGGTTTGTATTCACCTACATAAAATTTTGCGCTTATATGCTTTATAAATCGATGGCGAATGGTAAAAAATAAATTTTGCTTGATTTGCAAGTTTGGCGCAAATTTCGTAAACAATTACTTATGTACTAAGAATGCCCGTTATTCATCGATATTCGATGTTATCGATGATAAGTCGCAAAATATCGATGTTTTATAATCGATTGCGGAATATGTAGGTTCTATATTGTAGAACATCGGCACATTGATATATCAATATATATATAATATAGGTATACCTTCCATGATCCAACTACACAAGAACTGACATGATGAAGCAAAAGAAAAAAGTAATTTTCTGGCTGACGTTTGTAATTTCGGCGCCATGTTATTTTCTGTGAAAAGTAAACAAAGAATATGAAGACGAAGCATAAAGAAAAATATGCAAGCAATGTTGTAGCACATGTTTGTGCTAACCAATTTTTAATTTTTGTACGTGTTTTTGCATCCAATCACCGCGCACTTTATTTTAATTACAATTGCACAAAAAATTTATTGAAAATCGCTTAAAAATCACTGAAATAAACCACCGACAAAATACACATAAAGAAAGAAGCAAAACAGAAATAGCAAACTTCAAAATTACTAACGTCACACACTTTTTTATCAATTACTATTACAAATGGCGGTTTCTCAACCGGCCAGATATGTCCTAATTGGTTCATGGATACCTTCCACAAACAAGGCGAATTTATACAAGGTGGTGTTAATGGTGAATTTAGATTTTCGATTTATAATGTCAAAATGAGGTGTTTGTTGTAATATGAATTCGCCTTGTTTACAACAAACACATCATTTTGACATTAGGAAGTACCGCGGCGAAAATCTAAATTCGCTACCAACACCACCTTGTACAAATTCGCCTTGGTTACGACTTTTGCATTTCACGTGCCGATAAACCTGAACGTGTTTGTACGTATGTAAAACTATATTTGATAATAAAGGCGAAGGTAGTAAAATATTTTATTTGATTTAAAATTTTTTATTTAAAATTTTTTTTAACAAATCTGAAACTCATACCAGTGGAAACAATGCATGAGAACAAATAGTGTCCAAACTAGCGCATCCAATATAACTACTTACTTATGATGATATACATATACAACTACGTATTTGAAAATTATATCGATATTGAGTAGAATCAATTATATTTTATATTCAGTTTACAACAATAAAATACACTGCAGCATAATAATTGGGTTATTCACACTTGCCTGGTTATCAGGTTATCTGCTTGAAAATTATTATTCTGTGGTGTACGTTATAGTTGTAACCTGAATAAAAAATATAACCACATAACCAGATAACATGATAATCAGGCCACTGTGAACAACCCAATAGATTCTCCGCCGATGAAAATCGAGGAAGTCACATTGAAAGGAAAATTTAATACTTTTCAATTCATACTCTCTGTAATTCAATTAGAAAAATACTTACATATGGATGTATTTCCCTGTATTTATTTACTATTCCTTTGCCCTTCCTATAAATATAATAAAAATGCATGCCGTCGTAAGTTCGCTGAGCCTAAAGTTCCAAGCCCCAAATTCGTTGAAATTTCAACGGGAACCCGGTCCTTTTTTTATGTTATGTACGCATTTTTAATATCGAAAGATAAGAGTATACACAGAATTTCTGAATTTTCCCCAAAAGAATAAGTCAAAAAATTTTAGGAGCATAATGGGTAAGTTGAATTCAAGTCTGAATCACACTAAAGTCGATGTTAAAACATCGCTGAAACTGGCATCGATGTATCGTCAATTTAGCGATTTTAGGAAATTGTAAACATCGATGGCAACATCGAATTTTGAACCGATATTATGTTTCAAAAATATCGATGCATCGTTTGCATCCCTAATTAAATACCATCGTCGGTGGGGATGAAACTATACAAGTAATTGCAAGTGCAAATTGGATATTTTTCTTTCATCAACGACAAATTCTGGTATCGATACATTTGAGACAAGTACTATTCTCTTGATTCAATAACTGCCATACCATGGTATTATACCATTTTCCCATGCCATCCTGAATTACCTTCTTCGCTCCCCCAATTACGATCGCGAATTGCCCCATTCCCACGGGCACATTCTTAATTCGATTTGACAGTTCTCTGTCCCTGTGTTTTGTTTTTGTTTTCTCCGCTGCAAAATTGGCGCAAAAAGTAGATTATTCCTAAACATTTATAAGTTTCCGTATTAAATTATGGATTATGAGGTTATTCACTTTGAATATTTCGTATGGCGAATGACGCAATTCGAAGGGTAATTGGAATGCGAATTACTAATGAGAGAGTGAACTACGACTACAGAGCTTCGCCGTTTTCTGCAGCCAACTTCAATGCCTAAAAGCTTAAACAGACGGCAGCGTTGGTCCGGATTAACTCGGACTTAATCCAGATCAACTGCAGTTAATTCCCGATTTGATCCGGATCAACGCTGCCGTCTGTTTATGCTTTAAGTGCGTGACAGTTCGCCGTCAATCCGCGATTTTCGCGGACTGAGATGAACCAGGTAAACTCGAACTCTCTTCCCCCTCTTATCCACACAAAACCGGTTTTAGGCGGACTGAGGAGTATAGTGTGCGGAGGCCCCGACCACATAGTTATAAATCACAATTGATAACATTCTGGAGTAAATTGGCCCACCTTTCTCAATGGGATAGCCCATATGAGTTATTTAATTTAAAGAATTTCAAAACCAAATAAGAATCGCTGCATCATATATGTCAAGCTGATGCCAGATAAAACTTTGTAGCTTTGCGTGACATTTATAACTTTGCCAGCGAAGCGCCAGACGCAAAAGGTATGCCACAATGAACGCAAAGAAAACAATTTTGTACTGCTTTTTTACTCGTCAAAGTTGCTGTGGATTTTNGAGTATAGTGTGCGGAGGCCCCGACCACATAGTTATAAATCACAATTGATAACATTCTGGAGTAAATGGGCCCACCTTTCTCAATGGGATAGCCCATATGAGTTATTTAATTTAAAGAATTTCAAAACCAAATAAGAATCGCTGCATCATATATGTAATACATATATGCGCTGCATCATATAACGTGTCGACTTTACTTTGGCCCAAATATTCCTGTTGGGTCATTTCTCAAAATTTATTAAATGACAGCAGCTGTCATATTTTGACATTTTTTGATAACAATTTGAAAATGGTGCTCTAGCCAAAAACCGCGAAAGCATATTACCTTTTATTTGACATAATAAATGTAAAATCGTGTGTTTAGTTGAGAAAATGGGTGTGAAGGACCTTTGGTCAGTACTAACCCCACATGCCGAGAGGAAACCCCTTTGCGAATTACGTGGGAAAAAAGTTGCTATTGACTTGGCTGGTTGGATCTGCGAAAGCTTGAATGTGGTTGATTACTTTGTACATCCCAGACATCATTTAAAGTATGTATGCACATAAATATTATACGTAATTCCTTTATAGAATTCACTTACACATATTTCCGTTCAAAGAAACCTATTCTTTCGCACTTGCTACCTTATCTGGGAGGATGTTACACCTGTTTTCGTTCTGGAAGGAGCGGCGCCCAAGTTAAAAAGTCAAGTAATCGCAAAACGTGCTGAGTTGCAGTTTCGCGGGGTAAAACCAACTCAAAGCAAGAAAACTGAGACACAGCCATCTCAACCCAAAGATAAAGATAAAGGGCGTACTCGATTTAATCATGTGCTAAAACAATGTGAAAACTTGTTACAATCCATGGGTATACAGTGTATCCAAGCGCCAGGAGAAGCCGAAGCTTATTGCGCTTTTCTCAATAAAAATGGGGTAATAATTGAATTTGCCTTGTAATTAGCAAATCTATTAAACGAGTGTATTCTATTACAGTTAGTAGATGGCGTAATCAGCCAGGACTCGGATTGCTTTGCTTACGGCGCTGTGCGTGTCTATCGTAATTTTTCAGTTTCCACTCAAGGTGCACAAGCTGCTCAAGGCGGAGCAGTGGATATTTACGATATGCAACGAATAAAGGAAAAGATGGGTTGGTATAATTGTGTAATGAACACATCTGGTAACTGATAAAATCATTTTAATTCTGCACATTAGATTTTGGTCAGCACAAGACCATTGTAATGGCGCTACTCTGTGGATGTGATTATTGTCCCGAAGGTATTGGTGGCATTGGACGTGATGGAGTACTTAAACTATTCAATAAATACAAAGAAATAGAAATCTTAGATAGGTAGGGACAAATGATTGAAAGTGTTTGTTCTAAAATATTTACATTGTATATAATAGAATAAGATCCTGGAGGAATGAGGACAGTAAATATTCTGCCTTGGAAATGCGTGTTGATGATAAAATGGTATGCAGTAATTGTGGGCACATGGGACGAACACAGAGTCATACAAAAAGTGGTTGTGGTATCTGTCGCACCAGTCGTGGATGCGATGAAAGCCTCTGGAAGTGAGTACAACTCTTAACATTCATTGCAAGACAATCCTATATTTTCATAAGATTTAAACTGCTAATATACTTTTTTTTTTTTTTAGGGAAGAACGCTTGTCTTTGAAATCGGAGCTTTCACTACGTAGAAAAGCTTTGGCTGACCCCATGTTTCCATCTGAAGAAATAATTGCCGAATTTCTCAATGAACCTTCTACAGTTCCTAAATTAAATTTGGTTTGGGGACAACCTAGCATTGTAAAATTTATAAAACAAATTGGTCACCTTTTGCAATGGACAGAAATTTACTGCTTTCAAAAATTTCTGCCAATCCTAGCACGTTGGCAGGTACAAAACATGCAACGAGTAATTGAATTGAATGCAGTCGCGTATATATCCGTAAAAGAAATAGTTAAAAAACGAACTGTGCGTGGAGTTATAAGCCTTGAGATTATTTGGCAGGATGAGCGGGGTTTCTTTAATGGTCTCATACCAGAGGAACAGCTACAGGCTTTCGAGCAAGAAAATCCAAAGGGGCTTCTAGCACTGTGGAGTACAATAGAGCCATATTGCTTAGTGGAAAATGCCTATCCAAATATTGTGGCGGCGTTCATGAAATCAAAAGAAAAGCCGCCAAAGGCAGTTAAAGGTCGTCGAAAAGGAAAAACGACTGGCAAAGATATACTCAGTTCGCTAGAAAATCTTTCAGATTTAATAACTGCCACCGAAGAAGTAGCTAAAAGTATTAAACAAAAACCCAAAAGGCCCCCAAAACGTGCGAACAACAATAAAAAAGGTTTGCAGTTGATTGATAAATTTTTTAAACAGCAGAAACATTCACCACATTCGAGTATGCCAGATAAATTTCATTCACCTGTTAAAAATAAAAATGCATTTCCTGCAGCGACACAGTGCTCTACACCAATAACCAAAACGTTGCCGTCGGATTTAGAAAGTGACTGCGATGAGTTAACCCACAATATATCAGACATTGTAAATGGCATCGTCCGTGTCACCAACAGATTTGCGGGATTAACAACACATAAAGGGCGGGCATTACATTACGAGCCAATTTCGAAAGATTTGAGTCTTTTACTGAATGAGTGGAGTATCAAAGATGATTTAGATTTAATAACCCAGAAAAGAAACTTATCAATTTGTTCTCAGAAAGAAGCAAACAATTCTCCATTATCAAAACGCATATCATTGGACGATAGCTTCGATGCTTTGGTAAATGAAAAGCGCCATAAACTGCATAGCTTAACGAAAAAAGCCAAACAGCTGAATTTGTTCACCGCCATAGCGTCACCACCAGTAAAAACACATTTAGATCGTTTCAAAGAACGCAACTTTTTACAATCTTCACCAAAAATAGTAGAGCATCAAAATGAAATGGAGCTTATGCCCGAGAATGAGGACGCTCAAAATATTAGTTATTTCCTTGATAAAAGTTATCATGAAAACGATGAATTTGAGAAAGTAATGGAGAATGAAATGGAGCTTATGCCCGAGAATGAGCGAGCCCAAAATGTTAGTTACTTCTTTGATAAAAGTGATCATGAAAACGATGAATTTGAGAAAGTAATGGACTTAAGTCTAATAAATAAACCAACAATGCATGTGGATTGCAATGCTTCAATGGATATCTTAATTATTACCGACAGTAGTGACGAATGTTAGTATTGCTTTAGACCATTTTACTATTACAACGCTTTTATCAACTTGCAATGTTGTGTATCCAGTAACTTGCAATGTTGTTTGTCCAGACAGGCAGATATAAAACCTTTGCTTTGCAGAGTTCCTATAAAAAAGTGTAGACATCAACCTCGGCGGTTGAGAGGTAGATGTCGCCCTATGCATTACTGCTGTAGCGTACGGAAATGGACTACACGCCATTTCTTTAAATGAAATTTATTGGTGCTCGTATGTATGTAAATACATATCGTCGTTTAAAGTACAAAACCGCGTATCAAGAAAACGCAAAACCGCGTATGTGAGGTTGCATACGTTTTTTTCTAGAGAGTAAAAACACTAATATTTCAAAATGGTTCTCTTTTTATAAAGCCATCGTATTTCTGGCCAATATATTTGAGGACGAATGGATAAGGATTGAGTCAAGAGCTTGTGTGAGCAAATCCAATTTTTGGCAACAAATGTCAGTTACGCGGGTTTGCAGAATGACGATACGCGGTTTTTGTACTTTAAACGACGATATGTATATTCATGTGTGTGCACCAATCTATTAATATCGTTGAATTATTTTAATATCTATTGCAAAATTTTATACAGACAAGACTAAAAAGTAGAAAATAATATTTCTTAGTCCCATAGAATTTGTTTTGATAACTTTTGATTTTGAAATTTTCGCAAAAGTTATTATAAACCATTTGAGATTGAAAATGAAAAGCGTGGGGCGCAATAAATAGACCTAAATTGATATTAAAGGTAATATATGTATGCATGTGGATATATGAATACCGACCGCTTAAAATCGATCTCAAATTTCTACTTTTTCTGTAGAAATTTTAGGTCTATGTTATGTAGTTTAACTATTGTCAATTAAATCGAATGCTGTGTATTGCATGCGCTACACGTTCTTCGTATTCAAGCTCAAAAATGGTTTATAATGACACCCTTTGGACTCTTTGAGTTCAAATACATGACGTTTGGACTTAGAAACGCCGCCCTGACCTTCCAGCGAGTCATGGACGACACGGTCGCAGGATTATCATTTGCTTTTCCATATCTGGATGAAGTGTTGGTGGCCTCAGTTTCGCCGGAGGAACACGTCACGCATTTGCAACAGTTTTACGAACGCTATCGCGAGAGGGGCCTTGTTATCAATATGGATAAGTGTCAGATCACTTTACCAGAGGTAGAATTCTTGGGCCATTTGGTATCGCGGTGAGGCATAACACCCTTACCACGAAAGGTTCAAGGGATTCTCGACTTGAAGAAGTCAACGGAGGTACATGAACTCAGACGGTTTCTGGGCGCAGTTAATTTTTATCGGCGATTTCTACCACATGCCGCAGCTACCGAAGCGCAGCTCCAAAAGATGATGGGTCCTTGCAAAAAACGTGACAGGACGAAGTTAGTGGTCATCCGCCTCTGAACAAGATTTTGAAGAGCTCAAAACACAACTCGCAAAAGAGGCGTTAATTACGTTCCCAGTGAGGGGAGCCATCATCGCTTTGTCGACAGACGCGTCCGACTTTGCAATGGGCGCCGCACTTCAACAGTTAACTGATGGCCAGTGGAAAAGTTCACCGAAAGTACAGTACAGTAGGTACGACCACGAGTTGCTGGCGATACACAGGGCAATCAGGCACTTCCGATATTTTTTGGAAGGGACTCAATTTATCATTTTCACAGATCACAAGCCGCTGATTCAAGCCTTCGAGCAGAGTTGGGAGAAGTTATCCTCACGACAGACAAGACAAATGAATTTTATCAGTCAGTTTTCTACTGACGTGAGACATAGCGGAGCCAACAACCTTGTAGCGGGCATGCTGTCCAGGATCGAGACGTTTGCAGCTCCCTCACCATTAGACTTGAAGCTACTACACGACGAGCAAGAAGCGAGCGAGGAATTGAAAAAAATTACTCAATGATAGTGAAACTTCTTTACATTTGGTCAAATACAAGCATCCAGGCACAGGTATCGAAATCTTCTGCGACGACTCAACTGTAAAAATAAAACCATATGTTCCAAAAACTCTTCGCCATGTGGTTTTCGACACCATGCACGGCCTCGCCCACCCAGGAGCAAGAGCAACGACCAGGCTAATAACAAATAGTTTCGTATGGAAGGGGGTAAGTTTAGACATACGGGCACGCGTCCGCAGTTGTCCTGCATGTCAGCGATGCAAGATTGTACGGCATACGAAGGGTGCATTGGAGACGTGTGCAGTGTCGAGAAGGCGGTTCAAACATATCAATGTGGACATTGTTGGGTCGTTCCCTGTGTCACGAGGCTATACGTACTGCCTGACCTGTGTGGATAGGTTCTCGAGATGGATTGAAGTTTTCCCACTCGCCGACATGACGGCTGAAATGGTTGCGAGTGAGCTACTCAACGGGTGGATCAGTAGATTTAGAGTACCCAAGTTCATCACTACAGATCAGGGCAGACAATTTGAAAGCAGCCTTTTCCGCGAACTGGCAAAGTTATTGGGTGCCAAGCACATCCACACTACAAGCTATCACCCACAGTCAAATGGCATAGTAGATAGATTGCATCGGGTTTCACATGGCCGACGTAAATTGGGTGGACATTTTGCCAATCGTCCTTCTAAGGCGACGTTCAGCTGTCAAAGAGGACCTTGGAGTTTCCATAGCCGAGATGCTTTATGGGCAGCCTATACGCCTCCCCAGCGAATTCTTCGAAAGCCCGAAGGAAACACCAGCAGATGAGCACAGTTTTTTGCTGAACATCAAACAACATTTTGAACGATTAAAGCCAACGCAAACATCACAACATGGAAGGTCCGCTGTTTTCGTCCCTAAGGATCTTCGCTTCTGTAGCCATGTGTTTTTGGGGGATGATACCATTCACAAACCCCTTAAAGCGCCGTATGACGGTCCGTATCTAGTGGTCAACAGGTTTCCGAAGACGTACACAATTCTGATTGGAACAAAGCAAGTTACTGTTTCGATTGGTAGGCTCAAGACGGCCTATTTTCCGAGGGAAGAAGCGTTGACTGTACTGGTCGAAACTGTGACTTTGCAGCAATTGCCTTTTGCTGTTTTAGGAAGGGGGTGATGTAGGGTTAAGGACTACTACATTATTCGTCTTGCTAAGATGGCAACTCTAGTAATTTGAAGAAATAATTAATGAAACATACCTCTGCTTGTTGCATATATTTCCTGGTATATACTTTTCTAATTCGTTCGTGCAACAACTTTGATTTGTAACTTCGCATTTTATTATATTAAATAAAGTTAAGAATATAGAATACGACTTCTATAAATCTAATGCTTTGTATTGCATGCGCTCCACGTTTTTCATTTTCAATCTCATAAATGGTTTATACTAACTTTTGCTAAAATTTCAAAATCAAAAGTTATCAAAACATGTTCTTATTTTCTACTTTTAGTCCATTTATAAAAGGGATGTATAATAAAAAGTTTTTTTTAATATTATTTATTTGTAGTCTTAATAGTAATCTGGCACGTTTATACACTGTATGTATGTATGTATGTATGTACGTCCGTCGATGTGCTAATAAAAATATTGTGATTATTGCGTAAAATACATACATATAAAATATACATACGTATGTTGAATTACACTTAGTGGAAACCACATTTGTCACCCTCTTCAAAGTCTATTAAACATATACAAATATTAGCTTATTTGATATATAAGTTTTTGCTAATGATTTTCGTATATTTAATAAATTCACACAGTGACACTACAAATAACTAAATATTAATTGAATAAACGATTTTCGGCGATTTTGGTACCTACTGGTATTAGAGCGGCTCGCTCGTTATCACGCGTTTATCACGCGTTCGATTAATAAAATTTGGACAACACGTTGTTCATGACTAACAAATCAAAGCAAATTTTAAAGCATTCAAATAACCCGTAGCCTTAATCGACATCGCCTCTTATAAGGAAGTTGTCCTAGCAGCCTTGGACGTTGCACATTGAGGCATATTCTCTCCCAATGACTGCTATCTCTACGACATTTCTAGCTTATCACTGCACAGAATTTTATTCTCCCCTCTAAAAAATCCACGGCGTCCCTTCTCACTGACTAAGAAGATTAGGCTGCAATTAGTCATTCACGTCGACACCAGAAACCAAGCGTGAATATCTCGAAATTGTTGGGACTAACTTAAAAACTTACCCTCCTTTGCGAACACAAACGTAATTGTCAATAAACTAAGTACGGAGCGGGAAGGTCATCATAGCGGTCACCAATAGCCCTTGGGAGGAAAGACAAAGAAACCTTGCTAGCAAAAAGGGAATACTTGCTCGGCTGGTTCTAAATTGTATTGCGCCTGCTTAGATAGCAGTCGACGAAGCTACAGAAATTTAGGAAAACCGCTCTTCAAATTGCAACGGGATGTCGTCTGAACACCACCTATATAAGGAGACCTCAATGCTCCACTTTGGAGAATATAACTTTATGCTCAGCATGTATTTCCTGATCGGCTGCTGACATAGGGAGATGAACATTTGACCGATTCATCGGCAACCCACCCGGCACGTGTTTTGGGACCTATTCGGTTAAAGTCGCAATGTAGAGGTATTGAACAAAGTAAAAATGTGTTTAATTGGGCAAGCCTCAACATACAAACCTATACAGCGCATGTGAAACTTAGTCGATTGTGAACGGGATTATAGTCGTATGTATGCAGTGAAAACCTCCGAAGATTTTTGTCCTTTATACTGAAAACTTTACAGAAGAGCCGCACTCGCCTGATACCCTCAATTGTCCCATAGCATCCTGAGTTAAACCAATAAAAGGTAAGTTTAAAGCTAATCAACTTATAGTTATTAGCGCTGACAAGTTGTGCAACTTACCAAAAAATTAAAATTTGTTTATCTCTCGTACAAACTAGACACCACTTCACTCAACGGTCCCACAAACGTTGAACCAACAGTTGCAACGCTCCTGGTTTCATTACGAAACGGCGTCTCTTATATTAATGGCCAAACTTTAAGACGTATGAAAATCTGGAGTCAAGGAGTCAAGGTCGGACAGACGATTGTATCGTAAGATAATGCTGTGAACCAATCATACATATGTCTACTCATATTC